TCGCCACACCCAGCCAACCACTTATTAAAAAACTTGAGTGGAAGACTATAAAAGAACTGATCGAAACTGAATCCAAATCAATGGTCTTTAAGAGCTTAAACGAACTCGCTCCTCAATACCTACGCAATTTGTTCACGAAAAGCTCACAATATGCCACGTCTGGTTTGCGAAATACTTTGACTGACCTTAGGTTGCCGAAGAAAAGCACCACAACGGGTCAGACTTATTCCATGCATGTAAAATATTAAGTGTGATCACCAGGGAAATACAGACATCAAAAATTTTTGAAGCACAGCAACGCAAAAAAGATATGAAAAGCAAGCAAAATCTCAGCCTTCAGTTTCAGTGGTGGAAACATGGCCAAATATTTGGGAGGGGGCAAGCCTATTGATTTGACAAGATGCCTTCCTTTTCTCACATTTGTAGAAATAGACTATTGTCCTCTAAAATATTGGGACATGACTGTAACCCCAGGCCTTAATCTCAAGGTTTGGGGCCCTAATCTCAAGGCTTTTCCAATTTAAGATCTCAAAAGGTTCAGCCATAATCAATGGCGAAGCTAATCAAGAACAAGTGGCCCTGCCCAAAGGTGGTCAGGGAGTGTAGCCCCCAGAAAAATCGTATGAAGCCACGCCCTAAAAACCGTCAAAAAATGGGAAACACCCTTCTGGATTTGTTGAAATCAAGATTGCAGTGAAACATTTTTCACTGTCAAATTTTGGAAAAAGGGGGATCAGGGTTCGGATCCTTTCAAGTCCCTTCTGCCATACATTGAAGAAGCAGTCCTTTTTGTGAGGATAATTACGCGTGTGTGGCAAATCGCACATGCAAACAAATTCGCGCGTGCGATCGCACTTGTATGAAAATTTGCAGTGCCAACCTGATAAAATTGGTAAAAGGAGCAAAAAAGGTAAAAGCCACTCGAACACGTGCAAGAGCAAAACTGAATCCAATCAATACATAACAGATTACATTTCCTCATCAGAAATACTCGAGCTATTGTCAGAATCATAAAATATGTCAGAATTATATTGCTTTCAGGGTACAATTACGTTTTGACAGGAAATCAGTTATTACACTTAACATGCTAATGGCGACTTAGCTGAAAGACGAGACGCTAAGTTGAAAGGAGCATTCAGTCAACAGCCAAACATCACTTCCGAACAGACACGTAAATACTGGGGGGTGGTGTGGGGGTGTGAAACCCCCCCCCAATCTTTCATCCAGTCGGAAAATTTGAGGACAGTCAGAAAATTTAAAGCTGTTGGTAGAAAGCTACGTTAATCGGAAAAAATTTGAATCGTTTGTGAAAATTGAAGTTTTGACTCAAATGACCTTGTGAACTGTAGCTCAAAGAGAAGCACAAGAAAGGTATAAGTTCAAAAGAAAATAGTTGTTTGGCAAGAGGCAGTCCTAAAAAGAATGAGAGGCAACGCAATACAGAAAAAACGAAGTTTTGTATGAAAATGCAAGTACTTTCAACTCCATTCGTCGTAATGGGGATAGTGCGATGGTCATTCCATCAAATTGTTTTTAAAAACAGGATACGAAATATAATTTTTTAAATAATATTTAACAGTAATGCTTAAAGAAGCGCAATACATTTCGCATGACTTGTCAAGAACTTTCTCCGTTCGAGATCAACCGATGAAACATAGGAGGCGCCAGGTGGAAAGCTTGGGGCTTCAGTACCCCACTTTTTTGCAAAAATGTATTTTTAAGCAAATAGAAAGAGTAAAGAAAAAAGTATAAAGAAAAGAATAATCCTTTAGTTGCTTAATTTACAAGGAATACGTCGAGATCTATGGGGCCTCATAAAGTAATGAAGTCAATTTTAAGACTGAATTAATCAAAAGTAATAAGAGCATGCCTTAACAATAACATAATGTTTTAAACGATTGCAAGAAAATACCTGCAAGAAATATTCTGAAATGTATTTTAAGCTAATCTAAAAAGCGTGGTCATGAAAATTTTCTGCTCGCTACGCTCGCAAGGATGCCACTTCTTTCGAATACCCATAAAGCCTCCACCAACTCCCGCCCCGCCCCTTCAAACGTACCGCTAGCATAATGAGTGCGCCATAAAATGATAGGCATAAAATATCGTGAATCGTTTTGTGCGTTTTTCAAAAGATGGTTCTTTAGTCTAATAATTCTATCAAATCGAGTCCCCCACCCCCCAACTTTGAATTTCTTGGCACCGCCCCTGTGGAAGACTAAACGACCTCATGATTCTTACTTGCGAGAAGGACATTTTGGACAACGTAAATTTAGATAATATAGTGGAGCAATGGGCAAGTCGTGGAAGGAGAAAAATTAACACCTGATTTTTGGACTACATATGTTTTGATGCACTAACTAAACTAACGGTCTTTATGCTCGATCTTCCAAATTTACGAAATCTAGAAACGTTATCATACAGCGGAATAATTATTTAAGAGACAATTTATAAGGTTTCGTTGGTAAGAACTATTAAAGTTTAGGCCCTCATACAAAATTATAATTGCCCTTTGTCAGTCGGAAGTTTTGAGCCCTTCACCCCCCCCCCCCCAAAATCTGCCAATTTACGTCCCTGCTTCCGAAAATTGGAAAAATCATATTGTGGTCAAAAGTGCTAATCAAGTAACAAGGGAAAAGGATAAACAATAATGAGACCATGGGAATTTGATGTTAACAGAAAACTGCAAAAACACATGTTTGCGCGTGTGATGAAAAGCACGCGCAATTTAACTTGTGCGTGTGCAGGCGTGTCCGGGTGCGATCGCACGAGCTAAACGAAAAGGACTGGAAGTCAAAACAGCATCACTAAAATTTATTCTAAAATAAGTAATATATGAAAATTTGTTCATTGATTGAAAATTTTGAAATCTGATTGATTTTGAAATCCAAAAATTTTTAAATCCATCAAATGCATCTGATTGGTTGAGTAAACAAAACAAAATAAACAATCAATGATCTGGTTTTGTTTGGGCTGGTTTGGCTTGACGGTGTGAATGGGGTATAAGCAAGCTGTATCATAGATGTTAGTCTAGTTCTATGTCTTTATGTTATGGCTGTGGTGTAGTCATTTATTTTTGCTCCCATGGCATTGTCCTGTAATGTTGCGTCAGTTATTTAAAGTATAGTAGAATGTAGCCTATGTTTGTAATATTTTGTATGGCTGATATAAAAAAATTGCAATCAATTAATAAAAATAAATTGCTTGTACAAATAGGCATATACACTGTGGTAATACATACTGGAAACAGAATTTATGAAAATTATTTTAAAAAGTAGAAAAATTTGTCACAACATGGATAGGCCTGATGAATGATGGATACTTTTTTGAATCAATTTGTTTTGAATATCAGAGGAGACTCCTGACATTTTGCCAGTACAATACAATCTGAGTCACAGAGTACAAAAGCTCCCTGGAATTACCATTGTTTAAGAAGGCCTCCGTTTTATCGGTCCGACCTCAGAATTGTATGGTAGTTTCTGTTAAGGCAGGAGGAAGAACTGCTGTAATTTAATTTTAGCAAGCCCTTTTTTCTGTCATGCACACTCCATCTCCACTTTCCTGGCACCAGAAAACAAAGATTCTCTCTCTGGGCAAATTTTTTCTACTTTTTATAATAGGCCTTTGAATATGACTTCCTTTGCTCTCTGCAGTCTGAGAGAAAACTATATTCATGTATGGTTTCTCATGAAGTCTGTGATATTCCTGACATGAACAGTAAATAGGACCAACAGAACAACTCAAAACAATTTGATTTCCATAAATGCCACTCATCTCGAAATGATTAATTCTTGTATTTAAATCAAGTGACGACAGTGTAGGCCTTTCCTGCCAGAAGCTTCTAGCAGCAAAAACTTCTTCAAAAGCTGCATCAGTTAGTTTGACACATGATATCAAAATAGCTATTTTTCCTAAGGAAAGCCTGACTTTGGCTTGAGTGAAAATTCTTTGTGACCACAGTGCAGAAAATTAACACATTATACCTAAACATAGGGATCCAAAAGTTTAGGTCCTGCCTTTGTGAATGAGCAGGACCTGAGGTCCTGCCAGTTCTGAAGGGCAGGAATGCCATTATTTTCTTCTATTGTGAGGCAGGACCAAACACAGGGCTATGAGGCGTTTGCCCATTGTTGGGCAGGACCAAACGTAGGGTTTATTTCTGCCTACGAGTATTGGGCAGGACTTGCCACATGGCCACATTTTTGGTGATACCAACTTACGTACAAGATACTTGAAATTCCATTCCAGTCACAATATGACACCCTGTGTCTCCACATTAGAAAAGGGCATATTGATGAAGAATAAGTGTAGAATAAGACAAGAGATGCCTTTAAATCAGGCATAAAAGGATTTCAGCACATGAATCATTTTTTCTTTTTTTAAAATTGTTATCTTTGGAAATTTGTAGCCCTGCCCAGCACAGCAAGCAGGACCTCTGGCTTCGCCACTGGCCATAATGGGTCAGAGCCGTCGCTCTCATGCAAATGGTACCCCTCGTGTCAAATATGTTCCTGACATGTCGATATCTCAAACATGAAAAAAATAACAGATTATTATATTTATGTATTGGGCAACTCTTCTATATCCGTTTTTGCTAAACGTGGAGTTATTGCCAATCGCTTTCTGTTGATATTCAATAAAGTAAACCAACCAATACCAATACACACTTTTTTATAAGAACAGGTAAATTTAAGTTCAGGCTGACTGTTCTTAATTTTTTCAAAAATCTGAGGCTGGATTGCTCTTAATTTTTCCTTAATCTAATAGGGTCTAAGCAGTGCGAGGGGTAGCATTTTGGCTCTTCAAAATTGCATTTTTCAAAAGCTCAGCCTCAGCTTGTTCTTAATTTGTTCCCAACTTTTGACCAATTTTGAGACTCGTGTTCTTATAAAATTGAGTTCTTATAAAAACTCGTGTTCTTATAAAAAAGGAGTGTAGGCCTTATAGACCGGGTTTTCAGAGGTTGGAATATCTGCTTACCTTAAACGTAAAATAATTCATACCTTTTTCTTCACCAGATTTTTCTTCCTTTTCTTGCTCCTTAGAAAATTTGTAGATAAAGAGGCTGAAAACACCAAGTAGAGCTAGTCCTACGCCATAAACAAGAGTCCTAACATTTACTGTGCCATACGCCATGTTTGAAATCTCGTTTTGAATTCCCGCGCCGCGATGCGCCTTCGCTAGTCTTTTTGCGTGATTTTCCTTGAAAAAACGCCCTATTTAAAGTTTTAAATTCATAGTTAAAACCAGGGGTGCCACCCTGAAAAGTTAGGAAGGGGGCAGCACTGTAGGCAAATTCAAGAGGCCACACCCATGACCACACCCTTTCAACAATATACCTTTTATCCGAAGTGAAATGCCATTGCTTTAAAACCAAGTTTAATCAAGTCTTTCTGCTATAATTATATTAATCTGCACACTTTTTTACAAGAATACCTTTTTTTGCTAAGCCTCAATTATCCTAAATATTTTATTTCGAGCATAAGATTATTCTTAAATTAGTCTTAAGCGACGCAAGGAGTAAATTCGGCTGAAGATCAGAGAAAAAATCGAAGCTTTGTTGATGTATTACGTCATCACAAAGATAAAACAAGAATATAACAGAAAGTTCTCAGGGCCATGGACAGACAACGGAAACTCCCTGAAAAGCAACTGAGTCGCATTTTAGTAGAGACGTCAAATTCAAATTATATATCGTGAAACTCGCAATAGCTTTGCTTTCCAAAAAACTGAAATAAATAAAAAATTTATTTTTTAAATGAAATTTGAGCCTTGCATTATTCTTATGTTATTCTTAAATTTTAACGATTTTGAGCCGTGACACTCTTAAAAAAGGTTTGTGAGGCATGTCAAAGAAACAGATTCAGTCTGTATTGAACCAAAAAAGAAGGAGAATCTCCTGTGCTTCCAAAAGACATGTCAGGTAACGCAGAGAATTAACAAAAAGGGTTGGCTTAAACTGAATAGAAAGGGCTTAACTGGTGGTCCATTTCTTAAGTCTTTATGTTTTTGGCAAAAAGTGGGGGTAATAGGGACAGCTTTACAGGTAGCCAGGGACAGCTTTACTGGGGGTGTAGGGCTGCGACACATCGGTAAGTTTTCAGTAAGTATCCTTCGGTAAGTTTTTCTTCGATTCGATAAAAATTGTTTTTGGTAGTCAATTGTAATAAAAAAATAAAAAAATTTACTTTATTAAACTTCTTAAAGCAACAAACTTAATTTTGAAAATGAGCGTTTCTAACATTTTCCTGTCATCTGAAGGATGTTTCACCAAAGCCCAATCATTATCACACCCTCTCCCAAATCTTGACCGCTTAAAATTGTCCCTGCAAGTAGCTGGCCATACCCTAAGGATTTTTTGGATTCTGGATGACTAAATTTCTTTGTTTACAGGGAAATATGATTACTTGATGGGACGATAAACATATGCAAATATGTTTGACGTTCTTGCAAAAATGAGACACTTCGTTCCATTAGCTGTCTTAAGAAACCTTTATAAAGCTTACATTACTCTTGCAATTACAACTTGGGATAATGCTTTTAGATATCTGACCAATACAATCAACTCTAGCTAAAACAAATCTGTTAAAATAATGTGCTTTGAAAATGTGAAATCTAAAGCTATTCCTTTATTTTCCAGACTTGAACTTTTTTAAAATTTGAAGGTTGCTATAAACAGGAAACTGCTAAATGTATGTACAATACACAATGATAATGATTCATCAACTCTAAATAAATTTTTTGAAAAAGCCAACAAAAGGCATAACTACAAACCCCGTCATGCTACAAGCAGTAATTTTTCCCTGTGAAAAAACTTTCTGGCCTTCAATGGTGTAAAGGTTTGGAATCAAGTCCCACTAGAATTCACATCAACACGCAGCAAAATTATTTTTGGCAAACAATTTCCGTAATTACCTCTTGCAAAGCTATTCTGCTGAAGCAAATAAGCTTTAGCTTTAAAAATTTGTTACAATCGACTTGCAATCAACCTTTTTTCCACCCAGACAAGTATCCTAATTTGTTAATTGCCGCTCACCCCCTTCTCATGATCCCTTCCCTGCTCTTTTCTTTAGTTCCCTTCGATTTTTACTATTTACTTCATATATACTATCACTGTTTTGTTATGATCAACTTAAGATAGTGTTAGATAGTGTTAGAATTTAAAGTTTCAGACTAAAAATTTAAAGATAGTGTTAGAAAAATGGTGATCGGCCACGATCGTAGCGAAAGAGTAAATTTTACCAGAGGTACAATTAGGCATCTAGCTCTCTTAATTTAGCGCTTATCTAGCTTAACTTGTCGATATGGCATTGACATATGATGTTGATGAGCTCTAGCTGCGTTTGTAACAGCTAGAGCCAGGGGCGGATCCAGACATTCGCAACATTCGCACTGGCGAATGTCAGATTTCCACATGTCTTTTTGTAATTGTCTGTTAATACATTTTAGCATTGTGAATATTGTACTAGAAATGGCCAGATAATAAAAAAAAGGTCCACAGAATACAAGAAATAAAAGTTTTGTTTCCTGCCCTAGTTGCTATGATGTCACCTTGTTGTTTACTTTTTAGGTTTTATTCCCTCGTTTTCGTGATTTAGAGATGATATATTCGAAAGAGGGCTCCCCCTTTTACGCATAAATTCACAGAGCACCAATAAGGTTTGATGCGAATGTCGAATGGAATTATAATATATTAGGCATGCGTGCGCAAATGAAGTAGTACTGAAAATGTATGCCAAAAATTTGTGCGAATGTCAGTCCACCTATGCTATTTAGCCATCTGAAAACCAATAGGAAATGTATATGGGAAATTTTTTTGCGAATGTGGCGAAGGTAGATGCGAACTATGTTCGGTAGCCAGTCGAGGGAGAGAACCTTGGAAAGTGAGCAGATTGAAACCTCGTTTCCACATCAACGGCCATGAGTGTTGTTGGAAAGCTGTGAAGATATTTGCTTGCAGAAGAGCAGCAATTGTACTTCAGAGTGAGTGAAAGGAGTCAAATATAAGATGATTTTTAATTTGAATCAGCGGATTTCTTATGAACATGTTCAAAGTTTGTCGAAGATTTTGGTTGATGGATGGAATTTGATAGATGGCAATATGCGAGGACAGTTCAGTTGGACCTAAAATTGTTGAACCAAAATTTTGCCTATGTTTTCATTTTCATGATGGAGGACGTTATTTAGACAGAGATTCAGACTCAAATAATATTTTGAAGAATACGTGATGCTTTTTAAGGTAAATAGCCATTTTTATACAGGCTGTCAATCAGAACTTTTTAGGGTTCAAGTCAGGTATATCTTGATAATGATGATGTAGCATTCTGACGAATGATGCTGTTCTATAAATATCTTGATGAATTTGAATATGCTGAATTTAGATTCTAGATATTTTTTTTGATAGATGTTGTTATTATCAACAACCTGTAAATAGTTTGACTGTGCTGGGATTTGTTTTTGAATAAGATATTGCATTTTCTACGGCGTATTCTTTTCTTGTTAATTTATGCTGTCAGTTTTGGAAAAATCTAGACTGCCATATTTGTAAATGAGAATTGTAATAGTATTTTGATTTTATTTTTCTGTGTCATGCCATAAATTTGGTAACCCTTTTCATGAGTTTAACCTCTAAAACTAGAAAAATTATTTGTGGTTCCACACTATAAGAGTATACCATTTTGAAACTTTTGGTTCTGAATACCCTTAAGATTCATTAATTTTGTTTATGATTTGCAAGTGACTGACAGTTTTCTTTTCTATGTTATTGTGTGTGTGTAATAAATTAAATATGGGTAGTAATAAGTGCAATCAATGGAATGATCCTAATGGGGGAATTATACATTATTTAAAAGAAATTCACAGCAAGTTGGTTCTGCCAAGTAAAATATCTTTATATAAAAATCATATAGTAAAGTTACAGTTTGCCTTATTTCTTATGCCATTACTGACTTTGTTTGATGTACATTTAAAATTTGTATATTATATATATTTATGATGTTCTTTGTTATGGAAAGACAATGAATTGTTTTAAATTCTGTTACATTTGCTGTTTTACCACAACCTGAAAATACTAATTGTATGATGTGTATTGACCTAACTGGTATTTTTGGCCATGTTTAAGGCACATCACACAGCAGTTAGATAGAAAGGTGAATGCACAAAAATAAATACAGAAAAAGCTCTGAGCCCCTAAGGTATTTTGTGTTGAAGTCAAACATTTGTGGATATTGCATTGAAATTCTACACTAAAACACAGTATTTGATTGTTAAATAATATCATTGTATAAATAGAACTAAGATTCCTTTCTGTAAATGGCTGTTTTTTAAGTGAGTGACATAAAATGTTTTTCATGAGTTTTTCTCCTGAGAAGGGGTGTACTAACATCTCTAATATACCCTTATTCTAGCTCATCCTCTTTGTTCTTGACAATTTGTGTGTTCGTGCCTAGACTTGCCATTAAATCATTATTAAGAGGACATTTCAAATCTTTGCTGCTGTTTTTCCATCACAAAAGCATGTAGGAAAACATGCCAACACAACAAAAACTTGATGAGTGTTTCTCAAATTTTCCAGAGATCTCTTTTCTTGTTCACTCAATAAGTAAAATACCAAATTGTCAAGAAAATCCAGACCTGGCTGTTATTCTTAATATGTTATCCTTTAATTTCTCAACCTTTGAGCCTCAACATTTTCTGTTTCTTAATCCTAAACATAA